CCTCTACACTCATTTCTCATTGCAATCTGTTACTACTGACAATTATCAAAGAAAATGATTTGATAGGGGTAACTAATATATTTTATTCCTTTATATATAAAAGTTGATGTAGGCATACTGAATGAGGATGATTAGTTTTTTAAAACTTTATGTGTATATGTTTACATACATATGATCCTCCTCGAAAAGTATAACATCATTACATTTAGCTTAAAATAACAGAGATAACAAACTTTGGCAAGTGTCCAAAACATAGAATGCCATATATCATAGTTTTCATGCTATTCAATTACATCCTGTATGGTCATGGAAATGCCATCCTCCATGGAGCCAGCACTCTTCCACTCATGGCTCATGGACAGTATATTCCACACTCACTTATATATGGAAATAATGCAGAAGCCCCTTCCTAAGTAAAAAATGAGTTTAATCAACCTCCATGAGCCTTTTGCACTCGTTACAACTCATCCACCCCTCAAGCCAATTTTTTTCATGGTGTGATGGTCACAACATCCAGGTTATAGGGGTTAAACAAAAGTCCTCCCACGCCAATACTCTGTAAATAGACTGAAGGGATTTGACACGTGGTTGACATTAGCCATACAGAGGTTTGTTTTATCATTTATTTTCTGTAAATTTATTTTTTGCATTATCAAAAGCAATAGTCACAATTGGCATATAATCTCACTGCATATTCTACCTTTTAATTTCCTGTTTATTTAAGTAGGCCATCCATTTTCCTTGTTGGTCGATTAATGTCATACTTCATTGAAAAAACTGATATGTTAATTTTTTCCTTATGAAATTTCAAAATCTTATGAATGGTTTTGTGTAAAGCACAACTACATTATAATGCCCTGAATATTTTAGGAAGACTTTTGATAGTCGGACAACTGCCATATCTACCAAGACTGGCATCTGAAATAAGTCTGTGATAATGAAAGTGTTAAACAAGCAAAATGATCACTGATAGGACCAGTTGCTGCCTCCACATACAGAAATGAATGAGACCTGTCACAGATGGGTCAAGGTCATAAGCCACTCCTTGTCAATCTGTTACAAAGGGCACTGACAGGTTCACACTAAAGGAATAACCACTTGGGTGATTTACCGAAGCAAATTTCTTATTTGCATGTGTGCTCTGAAAATGTAGATTTTATATGTCCTTTGATGTGCACTGACAGATTACAGGTGTATGGATTGTATTGTTTGGAAGAGCTTGTGCATGCATGATGCAGTATTCATACTAAAAATATTGCACTATGCATTTTATTGTGTAGAAGTTATTAGACTACTAATTATGTAGCAGCTTTGTATTTTCATAAAAAAATGCTGTTTATCATTTATCATACTGAAAGTGGGCCAAAAGCCTTGGAACATGGGCAGTGTGATAGTGATATCACTGACCAGAAGATATTCAAATTTATTAAAACCTCATTCCACTTGTTCTCACTTACCTTCCCCTATTTGTAACATTTTCAAATATATAAAGTTGTATATATATATATATTTTTTTTTGTATAAGACAATTGGGCCTTCACAAATATCTATAACATCAAATTATTTCTTGTGTGATGAAAGGGAATCTGAAGATTATTTCCATCACAACCAAAGCCTACAATCTTGATATGATTGTCTCCATAGTAAGGGAAGGCATGAAGTGTATCAGGGAAATTGTACAGTAAAACAGGATGAAATAGAATGAATGTAGCATGAAAAGGCATGAAAACCTACAAAATAAATATATAAGTAAATCAAATTACATTAAAATCAGAATTAAAATTTCAGTCAAAATCAGCTAATGCAACTTTACAGATGTGCCTGCCATTATTGTAAGTCTACAGGCTGATGTGGCAACTTTCTGTGGTTGATGTATCCTAACTATATAGGCCAAGTTACCCCACCTATCTCCCCAGACATAGGTAATGCTCCCTGGACCCATGCTGTACTCTAGCTTAATGTACTCTAGCAATGTACTCTAGCTTAATAATCCCTAGCCAGGGAGCTTCACCCCTCAGACTCCCATGTCGTTATACAATGCATCCTAACCATATGCACAACTTAATGCCAAGCCCCCTGTACACGTTCATTAACATAGCCAAAGCAAATGGGATATGCAATTTTGCTGCAGCAAATAAAAAAAAAAACTTTTATTTGTTTGTACAAATCAAAGAATGATACCTGTACTTCAAAATATAAGTTGCTCTCTGAAAACCACACACCTTTATATAAAGAAACATTGAGCTTTTCTTTGGTTAAAGCAATAATCTGAATTGCTTTGTATCTAACAGTACTTTTTTCAACACTTGGGAGACTTGATGAGTTCAATATTACATGGTTATGGTTACCAATGTTTACTTCTTCTACACAACCCCAATAGTTTTAAAAATAGACTATAATTAGCAAAACACAGTAAACAAAACATTTTTTGCGGTCTTCCACATTAAAAAAAAAAAGTGACAAAAAAGTACAGAAGCCAAAGGTTACTGTAAAGAATTAAATAGGAATTGTTAGAGTACATTAAATAATATCATGATATCAAAAGCATACATAAAATACATATATTTGGAAAAACAGACACTGATAATCACAAACTATTTGACATTTTGCAATTACTTCCTATAACTAATACTAGTCCACACTCTGTAAACATGATGAACTAATTAGAAAAAAAAAATGTAATCTTCTCCATTATCAGTTACACATCTTAGCTTTTGATTTCTGCATGAAATGCCATATAAAAGTGTCTCAGATTTCAACAGGGTAACAAATACTATCCACACTTTACCATGAAAGCCTGGTTGTCATGCACTGTTATTATATCCAAACTTTTATAAGAAGTAAAGAACACAGACACAATTATAATATTTATATACATATATAATTTAGCAAATATGTGCCTTGAAGTATGTTTCATTTAATAGGTATGCTATCAGAGCATGCTAATAAAGTGAAATGTGTGTACGTGAAAAAAGTAGATTTTGTGAAAACTTTGTAACTGTGATATGCACCTGTACGGAAAATCTGGCTTACAGATGAGGGAGTCATCATAACTAAGAGGTTAGAGGAACATTTAGTGGTGCCTATACTAATAATCTTGTTAATCATGGGTTGCCTATGACATGTACTGATCACTCAGATCTGTTTTAGTCAGTGCTGACCAACTATAGAAATGGATTAGTAACAATTATAATGGTACAATGACAAGTGAGGGTTCGAGTCATGGCCAGCATGTTGTTCCCTCAGGCAAGGAACTTCACTTCAGCTGCCTATAGCCCACATCTGATATATGGCTGGTGATAGAAAGAGCATGCAACCATAAAATCCCAGCTTCCCCCTATATGATGGATGATATGTTGCAAATGAGAGATAGTACAGGACAGACCAAATTAGAGGCAGCGTATTCAAATGGCCGATCCCACTAAGGATTAAAACATTGAAGAAGAAGAAGAAATACAAGTAATGAAAATGACCTCCACCTGTACTCTGGGTAAGGTCAACAACCTCCAGTACATAACTCTGGCAAGATAAAGCTTGTAAACCTTCATGGAGATTCATCATCAAATAAGGAACCAATCCAAGCTGAATCTTGTTAGAATATACATTGTAAAGGTTTGCTTGCCTTTGCTGGAGTGCTGTAGATGTGGATGCTATGGAATCACTTGAATTTTCATGGCAGCCATCAGTTGACACTTTGGTTGCTCTCATAAAATCCTAATATCATTTACTAATAGAACTGATGTAGGGGGCTTGGCTCCCTCAAATCATTGACATTATCAGCAAAATATTATTTTCAGTGCTATAACTTGCCTAGTAGCTAGGAATGCAGGTTGGTGGCACACATCAGCATTTTCCTTTAGTGCAGAGCTTATTCATTACTTTATGCACAGCATTAGCCACTGAATAGGTTATAATTATATTTCATAAAAAAAGTTGAGGTTTCCCTTCATTTTAAGTGCCTGTATCTAATGGTGACACACAAACACACACACAAAAAAAGGTATTGCTACTCTCAGAGAGAGACAAGCTCCCTCTCATAAGCTGATGGCACATGGTATGTCATGATGCAGTTCCACTTCCAACTTGGTCCACCACAATCATTACAATATATTATGCCATTCACAACCAAAGGATTAACCACTAACCACCGGGTGGCATGTACATACATGCCATGGCTGTTGTGGACCGAAATACGGAAGGCATCGTATCATGACCATTCCCACGCCATTGCTTCATTGGATGGAGTTTGTTTTTCTCCGATACTAGTGGCTTCATGTATATGGTAAAGATTTTAAGCAATAGCACCTACAATGAAGGTAAATATTCAAATTTTAATATTTTTATAAATTATAACAAATTAAAGCTTGTGGGCGCCAAATGTCGCTCTCAAACTACCAAATGAGCCGGGCGCTAACAGGGGAAACTCTCGATGCGCGCCAACTATCCCGTTATCATGTTCACTTGCCAAAATTTTTTGCCCTGCAGCATTGGGTTAGGCAACATAACCTAACCATTGATGCCAACACTGTCATTTGGGAACAATAAAAATATGCTTTTACATTTATTTATCTCAAACTCATTTATGATTGTCAAGCTTCATTTCCTTCACAATAACCATATCTACATACATGGAAATTTTGTGGGAAAGTTCAAAAATGCTGTTTATAGTTACAACTGAGTGAAGTATAAAGGGAATACCTATGGATGACAGTGCTAGTAGGGGATGTCTTCCAGCAGTTGCCACAAGTCATGTAACAGATGAACAGTGACTCTGATTTCAATCATTCATTATTTCCATGTACTGTCTACCTTGTAAGGACACTTGGCAACTACTGCAAACTTACCCTTGTGAGATTTCAGCAACACATTGCAACTTATTAAGTCAGTGATAAAACCCTCTCTTTCTTCCAAATGGCACATCAACTACCATCACTCTAGAACTACTCCCCTAAAATAAAAATAAACTAACATAGAGACTTTGCAAAATCATTCATCCTTACTCGTTCCTTCAGTCTCCATGAGTGTGCTGCCGTGTTGGGAGCCGTGATTGTCTCCAGGTGACGGGCCTCTGTCAGCACAGTTATGGGTTCCTCATCTTCTTCTCCTCCTGATAACCTTGACACCTCCATAGTTTCAACCATCTCGACTAACCGGAGGCTTGTAACACCTTAGTTCTCACAACATAGGAATTCATCAAACCCTCAACACTTTCTGCGTACTTGATCCATGGAGGCGAGCACGCTACTGTTTACATCCTGCTGCCGTGCACTACATGACTAAAGCATTTGTATACGCTTTAGGAAATTTTCAGTAATAACTCGAGAAAAAGTATTG